AAAATACTATAGAACCACTGATCTATAATAGAGATTCATTATATATAGATCAGTGTATAGAACTCATTATAATCAGTGATGCTGTCTGGATGCGGCGCAGCGCAACACGACAAATCCCGTCAGTAAACTGCTGCCGCATTCTATTTATGACATGCTGACACAAATTTAAAAAAACCTACCAATACTAGGGGGTGCATAGTCTGGCAGGGGGCAAATTTCGGCACTACACCGGCTCAACATCGTGATGTCTATCAGCCATCGGCGATGGACGATGCCATCGTCTATCGGCCCAACCCTATTTGCTATGCCACATCGGTGGGAATAACCAAATTTAAATTTCACACTTCCAACTTCAATACATGGTCACACGGTGGCACCTTGACTGACAAACATTTATTGTTCTTGTGCCAAATATGGCATAAAGAAGTTATGATTCCAACATGCTTGCATTTGCTTTAAAAATAAGGAATCTCTATGTAGTTTTTAAATTTCTGCCATCTTGAAAAAGTCATCAATACAACCAACCAGACCACCCTAGATACTGCACAACAACAAGCTATACCACTCAGAACACCATTGTAACCACACAGCAACTGCACAACTGTATGACAACTGGCTAAATCACTTAGAACACCATAGTAACCACATAGCGATGACCAAGAACACCATAGCAACTGCACGACAACAAGCTAAACCACTCAGAACACCATAGTAACTGCCTAGAACACCCTAGCAACTGCACAACAACAGGCTAAACCACTCAGAACACCATAGTAACACTGCCTAGAACACCCTAAAAACTGCACAACAACAGGCTAAACCACTCAGAAAACCATAGTAACTGCCTAGAACACCCTAGCAACTACACAACAACAGGCTAAACCACTCAGAACACCATAGTAACAGCAAAGCAACCACCCAGTACACCCTAGATTCTGCACAACAAGCTAAACCACACTGAGAACACCATAGTAACCACATAGCAACCACTCAGAACACCATAGCAACTGCACAACAACAAGCTAAACCACTATGAACACCAAAACAACTGCCTAGCAACCACTCAGAACACCCTAGCAACAACACGACAACAAGCCAGATCACTCAGATCACCATAGTAACCACATAGCAACCACCCAGAACACCCTAGCAACTGCACACCAGCAAGCTAAACCACTCTGAGTCTAAACACCATAACAACTGCATAGCAACCAACCAGAACACCCTAGCAACTGCACGACAACAGGCCAGGTCACTCAGAATACCATTACTACATAACAACACCTTCCAGCATGTTGCCATGGAAACACAACACACAGTTTATTCATAAAATGTCAAACTAATTGATAATTTCCCCTGCCCACACAGCCTTGATCACATAAGTACAAAAGAGGCAGAAAATGATTTTAAAAAATCATTTTAAAAAGCCTGTGGTGATCTATGTATTTAAAATGATCTTTAAATGTCTTTGTTTAAATTTTAAATTCTCACGTTTCTTTGTATTTTCCAGTAGCCTGAAGAACCAGCCATGTGACACCAAGCTGCTGAGCTTCTAAAGCAAATCTAGATGTGAGGCGTCTGTCTGTCAGGTTCTCCTCCCCGCAGGCGTCCACACTTGATGGCCTTTATGAAAATATCATAAATTTAATCAGGGCCTGCAAATTTCATGAGCCGCCCATCTTCCTCCAGAATTTCTTAACGGGGTGTCAAAACAATCTGCTGCGTGACGTCTGACAGTCCACACGGTCAGGAGAGAAATGTCTGGAAACCTCTCTCTCTCTCTCCATCTCCCCCTGCCCACCCACCCTCCCTCA